AAGTCTGCTGGGGAAGGGGCAAATGATACTGTTTTCCCACTTAGGATACAAAGTTTCTTTTCAAACAGGAAATAGAATCTGGGTCAAAAACCTAGTCGTGCTGGCGTAGGCCTGTAATCCCAGCACAAGGGAGGCAGAGGCAGGCAATGTCAGTGAGTTCCAGGCCAGCCTGATCTAAAAAGTGAGTTCCAGGACAGCCACAGCTGTTACACAGAAAAACCCTATCTCGAAAAACAAACAAACAAACAAACAAAAGAGTCTAGGTCAAATCTAAACAAACATTAAATAACCACTGAAGTGATACTGAGACAGCAAGGCCCAGACCTATATGGTAGACATCGCCTAATAAAACGTGTAAGAAATGAAAATTCTATTTTATACATATATGAATTGGAAGAGAACAGAAAGCTCAGAAAGAAACTAAAATATTTATAGTCAACTGATTTCTAACAAAAGCACCAAGGTCACACACACACACACAATGGCGGGAATTTCTTCAACAAATTGCGCTGACAACTGGTCATATGTGGGAGAATGAAAGTAGACCCTTATCTAATACCATACAAAAATTAATTGAAGATGGATAAAAGACCTAGAAGTAGGTCCTCCAACTATAAAACTACTAGAGAAAATGCACAAAGAAAACACCGATGTCATATGTCTGGGCAATTAATGTTAACAGATCTTCAGTTCTGATAGTTTTGCCAGTGTTCTTGTTGGCATTTTTCTTTTCTGGTGTATCATTCCACCCACTGCTTTTTTTGCTATTGTTGAGAATTCCGAATGTGCCTGTGTGTTATACCATCTGTTTTTAAGTGGCAGTTTCAGAAACTATGGCTATCAAACCAGTGCTGGCTGGTACTGCACTAAGTGCACAGAACCATCACCCATGTCCTTGCCTGCTACATTTCCTTGTTTGTAATCCAGAGCAAGGCCTGTGGGATACGGTTGCTATCGTTTTATCCTACTGACTCACTTTTTGTTTTGTTTTTTTCAGCTAGGGACTCACCAAGTAGCCCAGGCTGGCCTTGGGTTTTCCATCCCCAGTCTCAGATTTCCAAGTGCTAGGATTACAGGCATGTGCCACCACACCTGCTCTGGCCAACCATGCCAAGTAGATTCCTGAAAGCAGGCTCTGAATCTAGCTGGCCGACCCTTCAGATGGGATGCCTGGCTGTGAAGAGCACTCCTAACTGTGTGCCCTCCGTGGTGACTCACCTGTTTCACAGCAATGCTGACCCGAACAGAATTGATGGAGCCTTCAATCAGAACCTTTTCCTTCTCATTCCTGCTGATGGTAACAGGTTGCAATAGGAGTTCTTTGCTACTCCTAAAAACACAAAATCAGAGGACCAAGCTGAAGCCATTGACTCTCTAGGTATTTGTAAAGGTACCTGTGGTCTATGAACTGTCACCATTTGAAAATGCCTAGTGAAAACCTTATATATCAAGTAACAACAGTCTATCCTAACACTAGAAGTGTCTGAGTCATAGCAATCATTTTGGGGACTGTTTTTAACATGCCCAAGGGCCTGGATTCAATCCCCAACAACAAAACTAAGTTCATCACCTATTTGGAAACACAAATTATTTCAACTATGTTCATCCCAGATTTTTCCCCTTTTGCTTTCTTGAGAAAAGACCTGTTCTGTAGCTGAGGCTAGCCCTGACCCTGTGGTTCTATTGCTATTGCCTCAGCCGCCATGTGCTGGGATTAGCAGTCTATGTCATATCCTTGCCAGGTGAAATTTCAAAGAGGAAGAATATTTACTTATGAAATGAAAACCAGACAAGAGAAAATTTTATTCAAAACATGGAGTATTTGTGTTTAAGAGAGTCTAAACTATCTGGCGGTATTAATAACAGAAAGTAAAAAAGCCCTTAAATCATTAATACAGAGATGTCATGTCTTGGAACTAAATCCTGTGCCTTCCCCTGGAGCTGCCAGTGGGCTCAGTAACACTACTGGAGACTTCCCGCAGCGCTGCTCTAAGAGGCCACACTTTGGGGTGGGTCTCTCATGGGATTTGGCCTGTCAACGTGGCCCCCTTAGACAGGGTCCACTCTTGTGAGTTCTTCTCAGCCCCGCTCTGACCTTCTTCCCTACCTGACTTCGACCTCTGGCTTGTTGTGTCGTTCCACGACCTGGGAGGAGAAGTTCTCCAGGCAGAGGGCAGCCTGCAGTGTGGCCCGCACGGCACTAAGGTAGGGGCGGAGAGTGGCAGTCTGCAGGAATAAACCCAAGATTAGGAAGGACCAGAGTCTGCCTCACCAAAGCCAGTACCCCTGCCTCCCCACAGCTCCTATGGAACACATGGTACTGATGGCTTCAGGCATGGTCATCACACAGAACACAACACACCCAGCCTTCAAAATACAGCCCAGTCAGGAGTCTGCAGCAATAGTTCCCAGCAGCAAACAATTCTGCTTGGCATTAAGCAAACTGTGGAGAAAAAAACTGACTTACTATGACTTAGGGATGGGGCAGGGACTATGGACATTAGTAGATACAGGCAAGCCATGCCGCCCAACATCTGGGGTGCATAATAGAATTACCCAGCCCCAAAAGCCAGCAATGATGAGGCTGTGTGTAATATTGATCTAGAGGAGTCCACGTGTCCTCCACCTGCTCCCTACACAGACAAATTTATTGATCCACGCCCTAAGAACACTGGGAATTTAGTGCTCTCAAATAACTGAATGAGGATCACAAGGGCTAATGGAAGGCAAAATGTAAAATAACTAGGTTTATAAATAATCCATACTAAGGAAATTAGTTTTGACTAGACATAAGATCAGGAAGGTTTTACAATGAGAAAAAGTAGACCGTGGACTTTCTCAGTAGACAAGGTCAGCTATAATGGTCAGTTACATTATATCTCAGTCAAGTTCTCACTTCCCTCAGGGCTTATCACATGCTGACCCATCACCTGCATTTTTTCGTCCTCATTGCTTAGGTCAGTCCTTCAGGGCTCAGCTCACTGAAAAGGCCTCTTACTTCCTCAAAGTGGTCTTCTTGACTTCCTTCTCAATGCATTTACCAGAGTTTTTGGTAGGGACACTTTACCATAATTCACAACAAGATATGTATTTTTCATGTATTTTGTTAAATGGGTTTTCCTTCACTGGCTTGTAATCCTCAGTCAACAGACATTAACTTCAGTTATGCTGGTAGCAACTAGCTCAGTACCTTCTATACACAGTGTTTTACAAAATTTCTATAGAGCGAACAAACGAACTATGAGAAGCGTTTTAAACTGCATATATCAGGCCGCAATGGCAGGCTAGGATAAAACTGTAGATAATCTAGAATGCCCATTCACCGAATTAGCTTTTCTCTCAATGTGGCAGGAAGCAGTGGGACTTTCTGAGGAGGAAGTCACATGACTTCAGTAGAGGCTCTCTGGAGAAAGGAATGGAGGGAAATGAGACTCGAGCAGAGACGGCAACGAGTACAGACTGGAGTAGTGGAGACAAGCACAGCATCACAGGATTCAGCCAGATATCAGACAGAGGGGGAAGCTAAAAACACAAGTAACTTAGCGCGTATCTCAGCCATGTTTGGTCTACACACTAGAGAATTCTTATTTAAATGTCAACCAAGAAAACGCAAAACAAGAAGGATGAAATTAGTAGTTGTCTGGGGTAGTGGGTACCATTGGAAGAATGACAATGTTCTCCACCTTCATTGGAGTAGTGGCTATCTGATTATTTTGTCAATAGTCAAGAAAGAAAATTAAAATTGAGTTTTAGGTAGCTAGTCCTGTGATGTCTTCCCTTTAGTGAATAGACCATTTCAAGTACAAAAACCATAAATGCTTAAAAATGAAAAGCTAGATCCTTAGTTAAAGGGCTTGTAGGCTGAGGACTGAAACCAGTTAGGACATGGAACATAGGACAATAAACAAGTTTAGAAAAGCAAGTGACTTTTGAACAAGAGGATCTAATTTCAAGGTGTCTCCCCAGACAGTCGAGTCACAGGAACATGGCAAGCAGTCCAGTCTTCAGAACTGAAGTCATCAAAGCCAGCATGATCCGGGAAAGAACCTACAGAAAGAACACCCACAGATACCAAACCCGAGCATCCCCTGGAAGGGAAGGGCCAGCAGTCATCAGCGTTTACACACATTAAGGTCAACACGGTACCGCACTACTAGGAAGGAGTCTGAATGGAAGCAACAGCACAGAACCTTCCTTCAGTGAGGCCTGGAAGCAGGGGGCTGCCGGGATCGAGAGAGTATTAATAAGGAGAAGTGGAGTGGGCACTTGCTTCGGGGTACAGTGAGATCAAGAAGACAGTAAGGGGGTGTACTTAGCGAATTTCTACCGTGGATGGAGAGGCCTGCTTCATTCGTCAGCGGTCCTACCTCGCAGCCGCCACCACAGGTCTAGTAGCCCCACTTCCCGCCTCCTCCGAACTTTGACGAGAGAGCATTCCTTCCGGGGACACCCAACTTGGAAGCCTCTGGGCCTGCTCCTGCCCAGCTCACTCTCAGCTCGCCCCTTCCTCCTCCCCTCGGTCCTTGCCCCACCCTCTGCCTCCCCATCCTCATCGTGCCCCCCTCATCCTAGGGCAACCTCCGACAGCAAGCCCTGGCGGCAAACAGCATCTCCCCCAGACCCACAGCCTCTCCAAACAAGACACAAGTAGTCCCCCAGCCCGGGGTCTCTCACCATCGCGGGTGCTGTCTGGGCCGGAAAGCGGAAGTACGGAAGTGCCCGGCCCCGCGACGCCTGCCCTGTCGAGAGAGGCGCAGCCGCAGTCTCCGCCAGCACTTCCGGGGAGGACCATCTCGAGCAGGACCGGGGAGGAAAAGCTGAGCGACATTCGGATGTCCTGAACGATTTCACACAGGGACCGCAGGGACCTGTAGAGGGCCTGGAGTGAAACAGTAGCACTCGAAGCCCCTTGGGTCTCCTTACATCTCTTCCCAGAGCCTTTGGTTCTTGTCGCCTTTGTTGTACCTTCCCCCCCCCGTGTAACAATAGTACAGCCCGACCTCAGGTTGAGCACCAAATTAGGACAGGCAGAGCCAGAGAAGCCGGACGCTTCTTCCGGTGGTGCTCCCCTATCCTCTCCGTCCGGGCTCCTCCTACCAGAAGCCCTGGGTCTCGGCTGGGCAGTGGGTCCCTGGAGATCTCGGCTCTGAGCCCCGCCCTAGCCCCGGGCTGCTTCCTAGGGGACACCTCAGGCCTAGCATTCCACCTGTTGGAGGTTCGTAGGTGGCTTTAGACCCCCACCCCCCGCAGGCCACTGTGGGCTGGCGGTGTCCCCGCCCTCGCGTCAACTGCAGGGGGCCCGCCCATAGCCAGTTCCGGGGCGGTTGCTCTGAGAGCACTGAACTCCCCGCCCCCTCCTGCGGCCCGGGGCCTGTAGGAGGCCGTAGAGAGGAGGTAGGAGAGGCGGGGGCTGTGTTAGGGGCTCCCTAGAGGACGAGGACCCTGGAGGCGGGACTTGAGGCGACACACAGGTGGAGCCAGCCATTAAGCAGTCCCACTTCTGTGCCAGGCACTGAACTGGGCACTTGGAGAGCATCACCTCTTAATCCTCAGAACATTCCAGGGAGGTAGGTACTCTTGATGCCCCCATTTTACAGATTTATACTTTTTAATGGGGAAACGGACTGAGGCATCATCTCTTGTCCTGGACAAAAAGAAACTACGATTCAGGTGAAATAACATGCTTAGAAGGGCACATAAGAAAATGGGCTGGAACTTAATTATGTCTGCTTCACCAGCTCATGTTCCAAACTAGCTAGGGACACAGAGAGGTGCAAAAGTGGAATGAGGCTGGGTGAACCCTGTAAGATAGAATGCTTGAAAGAGCCCAACAGAGGACATAAGAAGACAGGGCATACTGGTATCTCTCTTGGTGTGCAGCTAGGAAGCTAGACCTAATCAAGCAGGTTTGTAAACCTAGCTACTTGGGAGACTGAAGCTGGTGGATCATAAGTTCAGGCAGGGCCTGTCTGGACAACTGAGTGAGAGCCTGTCTCAATAAAAATTCACGAAAGGGGGCTGAATGCAGCTCAGTTTGGAGACTATGTGCCTAAGCGCACTGAATAAGCCAGGTGGTACATGCCTGGAATTCCATCACTTGGGAGTTGAAAACAAATCTTTGGTTACTTAGCTAGTTTGAGACCAGGCTGGATCAAAAGTCTCAAAAAAAAAAAAAAGTAAATAAATAAAAAGGACTGGAAGCCAGGTGTGGTATGTGCCTCTATCCCAGCACTCTGGGAAGTAGAGGCAGGTATAATGAGTACCAGGCCAACCAAGACCACATAGTGAGACTTTGTCTTTAAAAAAAAAAAAAGTGAGATACAGCATGTGCAAGACTCAGGGTTCAGGTTTAAGTGCCACCAAAACAAAAAGGGCAATGACTTGTACTTAGGAGTTGAGACATACCCTTTCAGAGTCAGTTTCCTTTTTTATCAAAAAAAAAAAAAAAAAAAAAAAAAAAAAAGTGAAATGAAGAAAGAAAAGCGTGAATAAGGCTGATTCCCCAAGGTTGTATAATTCAGTGAAGTAAGTCCTCGTTGGGTGTGCTGTCAGGGCTCTCTGAACAGGAGCTTTGCCACCGTCCTTATCTATAAGGGTATTGAAGCCTGGTTTCTTTGTTGGGCCTCTCCGAGCTACTCTGTCTCCCACCCAATGGCCTTCTCTCTAGTTTTACAGGATCCCATCTTCTGGGCCATGAGTGAGCTGAAGGACTGCCCATTGCAATTCCATGATTTCAAGTCTGTGGATCACCTGAAGGTCTGTCCCCGGTACACGGCAGTGCTGGCTCGCTCCGAGGACGATGGCATTGGTATTGAGGAGCTAGACACTCTGCAGCTGGAGCTTGAGACCTTGTTGTCCTCTGCAAGCCGACGGCTGCGTGTACTGGAAGCTGAAACCCAGGTGATTCTCCATCAGAAGGGGACATCACTAGAGACAGATTGTGTCAAGTTATGGGATGGGTCATTAGGTTAATGACCTAATGTTGAGGTTATCTGTTGAGGCTAAGGAATGGATGGGAAGAGAGGCCCAAATGGAAATTGTGACAGCAGAGTTAGGGCCCAAGGCAAGGGATGCCATCCAGCTGGACCTCAGAAGATAGACTCCTTGTGGTCCCTGGAATTCCTTAGGAGCTTTGTGAGACACTCTGTGACACAGTCACAGTTTGTGTAGACAGGGCTCCCAGGAGGGTTGATGATTGAAATGAAGTCTTTTTTATTCCATCACCAAAAAACCCCACCACCAGCATACATCCCTAGGACTGCTATGCTCTGGGGCATAACCTTTTTTAATATTTGTTTTGTTTTTCAAGACAGGGTTTCTCTGTGTAGCTTTGGAGCCTGTTCTGGAACTTCTCTGTAGACCAGGCTGGCCTTGAACTCATAAAGATTCACTTGCTTCTGCCTCCTGAGTGCTGAGATTAAAGGTTTAAAGGTGTGCACCACCACTACCCAGCTTTAATTTATTTTTTAACCTTTCTACCAAACAGTCTGTGGCTAGCTTGGATGATAGAGGGGAATGAAAATGTTGACCTCAGGTTAAATTCATGTGAGAAAGAACTGGGCTTTGAAGGATAAGTAGTTTACTTAATAGTCTCAAATTGGAGATCTCAAGTGGAAAAGAAGAGCTGTCTCTTCTCTCCTCAGTGACTGTCTTTGTGTGTTTCAGATCCTTACTGACTGGCAGGATAAGAAAGGTGACCGACGATTCCTGAAGCTGGGTCGAGACCATGAGCTTGGTGCTCCCCCAAAACATGGGAAGCCCAAGAAGCAGAAGCTGGAAGGGAAGGCAGGGCATGGACCAGGCCCTGGCCCAGGACGACCCAAATCCAAAAACGTTCAGCCCAAGATCCAGGAATATGAATTCACAGATGACCCAATCGATGTGCCTCGGATCCCCAAGAATGACGCTCCCAACAGGTTTCTGAGCCTGAGCACATAGAACAGAGCTAGAGGGGGCCTAATGACTGGCAGTGTGGTCTTAGAAGGCCTAGGGCTAAGGCTAAAGGAGCCCAGAGGTGCCCACTCAGGGTCTACTTCTCCCTGCAGGTTCTGGGCCTCAGTGGAGCCCTACTGTGCCGATATAACCAGTGAGGAGGTACGAACACTAGAGGAGCTCCTGAAGCCTCCTGAAGATGAAGCAGAGCATTATAAGGTAGAAACCCTGAGCCTTACAGTCAGAGGACAGGAGGGCTCGGAGGTGACTCAGAATCCCAGGCAGCAAAGTCTGCATCATCTACTTCCTTCCTTCCCAGCCACCTGCCTGCTGCATTACCCTTGCAGACACTGAGGCTCAGCTTTCCCTTGCTACCCCACCTCAGCCAAGTGGTGCATCTATCAGTAAAGTCCATTCTGTCCGCTTCCTTTATCCTAAGAGCCTCTGCACATACTCCCTGCTTTTAGACTTCAGCAAACACTTTCTTTCTTTATTTAATATAAAAGCTAAGTTCCTGTTTTCTAAGACACTAGAACTTGCTATGGTGCCCAGACAGAGCTTAAACTCTTGGACTCACCATCTCCCTCTCTTAGGTCCCCAGGTGTCTATGACCACAAACATAAAATCACTACACCTGGCTTAAAGGTTTTTGGTTTTTTGAAACTGAATTTTACTTATCCCAGTCTAGCCTTGAACTTTGTGTAGCTAATGATGACCCCGAACTTCTGATCTTCCTTTCTCTTGACTCCCTCATGCTGGGATTACAGGTATGTACCACCATGCCTGGTTTTGCAGTCCTGAGACAGAACCCAGGGCTTTATGCATGCATTCCAGGCAAGCTCTCTACCAGCCGAGATACATTCCCAGCAAGTTAGTTTTCTTTCTCATGAAAATAAAACATGTTCCATAAAAGAAAGTGGACAAACTCTTGAGGAGGGGACTCTACCACAGGACAACTGCCATCTCAGATGTACTATGTCTAGACCTTCCCTAAGCCTGTTAGCCGCAGGATGGAGAGTGTCTCAGTGCTTGGTGACACCCTAGCTCCCCTCCAGTTTTCCTTGGCTACACCCCTCTTTCCTGCTGTATTTATCAGCTCTACCAGACATGTCTCCCTCCCACTGGGCTCACCAGGATCTGTGTCCAAGCTCTTCTCAGCTTGACATACTGCCTCACTCTTAAAGGCCTGAGCTCATGCTACTGCCTCCAAAGGTGCCTTTCTAGACTCCTTAGCAGAAAGAAGACGCTGGGCCCAGTGGCTCACACCTGTTGCACTGGGGAGGCTGAGGCAAGTTAGAGGCTAGCCTGGACTTAACAAGTGTGAGGCCCTTTCTCCAAGAAGATTAAAGGAAGTGGTCTCACTTGGTGGCTCCATGGTCCCTTGTCTGCTTTAATTACACTTACCTGAGTTTAAAAAACAAACAAACAAAACATTTACCTGAGGCCAGAGATGCAGTAAATGATAGAAGTCAGTGGTAGAGGAACTGTTTAGCATCATGACCTAAAGAACTATAGCAACCTGTAATCTCACTGTGAGTTTCTTCTTGTCTCAAAGAAAGAAAAGCAGGGGAAAGGCAATCCATTTCAGCAGTAGTAAGTTTAAGCAATACAAAAAAAATAATCCCTTCTTGCTGCCTTGGGCTCTAGTTCTGTGTGTGTGTGTGTGTGTGTGTGTGTGTGTGTTTGTTTTGCTTTTTGTTTGTTTGTTTTTCAAGACAGGGTTTCTCTGTATTGCTTTGGAGCCTGTCCTGGAACTATCTCTGTAGACCAGGCTGGCCTGTGCCTGTCTCTGCCTCCCAAGTGCTGGGACTAAAGGCGGGCGCCACCAACACCCAACTCCTAGTTCTTTTTAGGAGAATTACTTGTGACAAAGAGGATCCATAGACACAGCATTTTATACTTTTTGGGGGGTTTTTTTGTTTTTGTTTTTTTCTTCTTTCAAGACAGGGTTTCTCTGTGTAACAGCTGGTCTTTGGACTCAAGAGATCTGCCTGCCTCTGCCTCCTGAGTGCTGGGATGAAGGGCGTGCACCACCACACTGGGCTTATATTTTTATCTTCAATACTTCATATCAGCTTCTAGATGTATTTTTATTTTTGTTTTGTTTGTTGGAGACAAGATAGGGTCTCAGACTGGGCTCAGACTCACGACCATCCTACTTCAGCCTCCTGAGTGCTGGGACAACAGGTGTGTGCCACCATGCCCAGCTGCTTTCATTCTTTATATACCTTTTTCTCCTACTAGAGTGTGAGTGTAGAGTTTATCTTCTTTGCCTTTTGTGGTACTACCCTTGGCCTTGGGCTTGAGGCTTGGGCAACAAATATGTGAAGGAAGAAAGAAATGAATGGAGAGCTCACTGACAGTGTCCCGTATCAGGAGAGTCTCCCACACTCTAGGCTCAGGTGTCCAATGGGGTTTACCTCTTAGAAGTGAATGGCCTCTTTGCTGCAGATTCCCCCACTGGGAAAACACTACTCCCAGCGCTGGGCCCAGGAGGATCTGCTAGAGGAGCAGAAGGATGGGGCTCGGGCAGCAGCTGTGGCTGACAAGAAGAAAGGCCTCATGGGACCACTGACTGAACTGGACACAAAAGGTAAGTCCCCAGCTTCCTGTCCACCTCAGACTGGGATCTGAGTTTCCAGAGCTTCAGCCTCCTGCTGTCCTCTCTCTCCCTGTCCACTGTAGATGTGGATGCCCTGCTGAAGAAGTCTGAGGCCCAGCATGAGCAGCCAGAAGACGGGTGTCCCTTTGGTGCCCTGACACAGCGCTTGCTGCAGGCCCTGGTGGAGGTGAGCACTCAGACTGGGAATTACAAGCTAGGTGTGGCGGCGTATGCTTGTGATCCCTGCAGCACTCGGGAGACAGAGGCAGGGGCCTCTTGAGCTCAAGTGCTACATGCAACCATCTCAGAAAAACAACACATGTAGGTGTACACACCCACACCCATACCCTGTTTTGTTTTGCTTTTTGAGATAGAGTCAAACTAAGGGCTAGAACTTACAGTCATTCTCCTGCCTCAGCCTCCCAAGGGCTGGGATAACAGATGTAGGCCTTTGTGGAGCATTGGTTAAGGGGGGTTCCATGCACCCTCTCAGTGGAGGCATGTGCTGTGCTAACTCCATGTTGCAGGTGAGGAAACAGGTTTAGAAAAGGGAACTTTCCTTAAGACTGTCAGCTAATAAGTAAAGGTAAGATTTAAGCCCTCACTTGAAGTTTCCATCTTTATGTCCCTGTCTGGCCATGAAAACGCCCTTTCGTGTCCTTGAGCCTCAGTTTCCTCTTTTGGCTCTAACACGATAGTTCTCCTCTCAGGGATGGTCTGAGGCTTGCATTCCAGGTAGACTGAGACAGCGGGAAGTGGGAGTGTGGCTTAGCCCAGCAGGGACTCCAGTTTATTGTGGCTTTTCATCCTGACCTTGGTTGGTCACTCTGGGTGTGGTTACCACACCCGGCCCTCAGAAATTGAGTAAGGAGATGTGTGTGAAGGAAACACTCTGGGTGTGACTGGGATTCTTACCTTTTTAGATCACTTTCCACTGGAGGATTTGTCCCTTGAGTCCATCTGACTGCAGGGGAGCCTGGGAAATGAGTGGAGGAAAGAACAGTCAGTGTTAGATACTCCCCTGCCACGGCTACTCTTGTACCCCTTCTTTTGCTATCCATATTCCCCTCCCCTCAAGAAAAGAAATTCTAGAATGATCAAAGCTTTGGAGGAAGCTTTGTTTTCGTTTTTTGTTTTTTGAGACAGGGTTTCTCTGTATTTATGGAGCCTGTCTTGGAACTCGCTCTAGAGACAGACTGGCCTTGAACTCAAGAGATACGCCTGTCTCTGCCTCCTGAGTGTTGGGACTGGAGGAAACTTTTTAACATGAAAAAGACGACAGACTATTTCTATCCAGCTTGTGAAGACTGTATATGTCCGAGAGGAGCACAAAAACGGGATTCAATGGCTTCCTCCTTCTAACCTATCTCTGGTCTTCAGGAGAATATTATTTCCCCTATGGAGGACTCTCCTATTCCTGACATGTCTGGAAAAGAATCAGGGGCCGATGGAGCAAGCACCTCTCCCCGAAATCAGAACAAGCCCTTCAGGTGAGTGACATCCCATTTGCACTCTGGGCCTGCCTGTCAGCTTCTCTCTGTCTTCTTAGGGGGACATGCTTTGTTAAACAGGCCGAGGCCATTTAACCATGCACAGACATCTCACATGGAAATGCTGGCCTTGTTTCTGGACAGACTTGATCACTATACTTCACTTTTTCTAGAGATGACCCAGGTGCCCAGCTGAAGGGAATGGCTAGCTGAGTGCCAAAACTACATAAGAAATAACTTGGAACTGCTAATCATAACAGAAATATATTTGACATGAAAGAATTAAAACAGAGTACCCAATGGAGGGAAAAGAGTGATTCTATTTGTACTTAAAATATATTTAAGAGTTACATGTAGTTAAAAAAAAAAAAAAGTCTTAGAAATGTATATCATAAAAGATTGCAACTCACACATAACAAGGCCTGAAACATGTAACACATATGTGTGGCTATAGTGGGTTCACAAGGTGAAAGGAGGTGCCAGGCTCTCTGAGGGGACCCTCCAGCAGGCCCTCAGAGCTCAGGTGCTGGCCGTGCCTACAGTGTGCCCCACACCAAGTCCCTGGAGAGCCGCATCAAGGAGGAGCTGATTGCCCAGGGCCTCCTGGAGTCCGAGGATCGGCCTGCTGAGGACTCAGAGGATGAAGTCCTCGCTGAGCTGCGCAAACGGCAGGCTGAGCTGAAGGCACTCAGTGCACACAACCGCACCAAGAAGCATGACCTGCTGAGGTGAGTGAGCACTGTGCCCGGGACAAGCCCTGCTCCCCCAAGTTGGGTCTCAGTTAGATGCGAAGCTCAGGGGCAGGGCTCCTGCGGCTGACATATGGGTGGGTTTGATTCTGTTTTTAGATTTTTTTTTTTCATTTTAATTATGTGTATGTGAGTTTGTGAATATGAGTGCAGGTGTCAGCTGCCCTGCAGCTGGAGTTGCTGGTGTTTGCTAGATGCCCAGTGTGTAGGTGCAAGAGTAGAACACACTTTTAACCACTGGCCATCTCTCCAGCCCTGGCTCCATTGATAAGTATAGTTTGGTAATATTTAGTGTTGCTTTTGTTTTTTTAATGTGTGTTTTCTTTCTTTCTTTTTCAAGACAGGGTTTCTCTGTGTAGCCATGGCTGTCCAGGAGTTTACTCTGTAGACCAGGGTGGCCTCAAACTCACCTACCTACCTTTGCCTCCCAAGTGCTGGGATTAATGGCATGTGCCACCACCACCTGGCTGTGTTTTCTTTTTCTTTCTGGTATTTAATTTCTGGTATTATTTAATCAAAATACCACAGAAGCACTGGGAAGATATTCATGGGGAAAATGCTTGCCACCAAGCCTGACCTCTTGTGTTCAGTCTTCAGCACCCACGTGAAAGGTGGCCACAGCAGAACACATCTGTAACCCCAGGGCTTGGATGGGCAGAGGCAAGCCTAGCTGAATAGGCCTGTCTAAGATCCCACTAAGTGATCCAGTCTCAAAAAAAGAAGGCCAAGGGCCAGCAAGATGGCTCAGTGGGTAAAGGCACTTGCCACCAAGCCTGGCCACTTGATTTTAATTCCTAAAACCCAGATGATAGAGAAAGAAAACCAACTCCTGCAAGTTGTTCTCTGACCTCCATGGCATATAACCCTCCAATGAATACATAAATACGTAAATTACAGTAAAAATAAATAAGGCAAAGCATGATAAAGAGAGATATCCAGTATCAACCTCTGGCCTCCACGTGCATGCACACACACGTACAACATGAACATGTACACATATAACATACACACGAGTTGTTAATGTTCTCTTGGTTTTGCCTGTGCTTTTGACTGGCTAGTCCCCCTGCACTTACTAGTGTCAGGTCCACACAGGGTTGAAGCTCAGTGTGGCAGTGTGCATCTGTAATTCTAACCAGCAGAAGGGAGTGAGAGCTGAGATTGTGAGGAGGCTCAGTCTGGAAGAGGGAGGGAACAAACTCTGGAGTTTGGATAACTGTGATACTTGGCCCCCATAGGTTGGCAAAGGAGGAGGTGAGCCGGCAGGAGCTGAGGCAGCGGGTCCGCATGGCAGACAATGAGGTTATGGATGCCTTTCGCAAGATCATGGCTGCCCGGCAGAAGAAGCGCACCCCTACAAAAAAGGAAAAGGACCAGGCCTGGAAGACCCTGAAAGAGCGGGAGAGCATCCTGAAACTCCTGGACGGGTAGCTTCACCTGCTGCTGGCCACCTCCCTGGCCTGTCAGAAGCCCACTTCCTTTGAAGCTTTGGCTGGGGGCTGCCCATCAAATGACAACAATCTCAGGCCACCCAGCTGAGCTTTGTGCAGCCAGCAGGCAAGGCCTTCCTGTGCTGACTGGACCTAGCATCTGCCTGGTGCCCCAGATGAGCAGGTGTATTCCTGGCTGTCCCCTTTCCTTCCTACCATCTCCTCAACACCTTTCCCTCAAGGATTTCTTCCTTGTGGTTTTGTAAAGTACAAACTTAAGAATAAAGTAACTGCTGTCTTTTTTAAAAAATTACAAAAACACCTATAATTTTTGAGTAACTGTTATTTGTGGTGTTGGAAAGGCTTGCAAAGGTGGAAAGCATTCAGGAAGGCATGCTTGGTGGCAATTGTTGTGGGACATTCGGGGGAACTTGCCATGGGCTTGGGGCTACCCACCCATGACATTTATTTTTGAGCACTTTTTTTGTGGTGCTGGTGGCGGGAGGGTGGGTGCTGGGATTCCTAGGGCAGGACTACCTTCAGAGCTACTACACAGGGCCACCAAGGACCTTTGGGTCTTTCCACAGTGCCAGCTATCACTGAGGTGTCTTCTCAGGTGTGGGTGTCAGGTAGAAGCAGCCAGATGGTTCATTTGTGTCTATTACTGAAGAGAAGTAGCAAGCCTTGTTCCAGATGTCCCTGGGTCTTATCTAAGCCCAAACTGAGTTCTCATATCCATTTCCAATACATCCTCTAGGATTAAGGTAACTACTGAGGTGGTTCTCAACCTGTGGGTTGTGACCCCTTTGAGGGTCGAACAACCCCTTTCACAGAGGTCACCTAAGACCGTTGGAAAACACTGATATTTACATTGTGATTGATAATAGCAGCAAAATTCCAGTTATGAAGCAGCAATGAGAATAACTTTATGATTGGGGGTCACAACAACATGAACTGTATTAAAGAGTCACAGCATTAGGAAGGCTGAGAAACACTGTTCTACTGAAAGGGTGGCAGTGTTAGGAAGGGTGAGAAGCTCACCCTACTGGAATCTTGTTTTGTCTGGAGACAGACATCCTGGCTTGCTCTAAACTTGCTTCTGCCTCTTGCTTCTGCCTCATCTACTGGGATCACAGGCCTGAACCATGGTGATGCCCAGTGATGCCTGGCCTACTCAGAGTTCCAACCATGCAGCCCCACAAAGTTCTATCCACAATGAGACAGCCCATCAGGCTCTGGGCAGATGACAAAGCAAACGCAGGGTGCGCTACCAACACTGCCACAGCCTGGGTTGGAGCCTGCCTGAGAAATGCAGGCTGTGCTCTCCTCCTTGTGCATTCTCCCTGAGCTAGGGTTAGAGCTATGGGAGAGGGGAGGAGACAGTTTCCTCCCCCACTGAGCCACAAAGAGAGGTGAACTGTTCATAGTGGCAAGAACCTGTAACCTCAGCACTCAGAAGGCTGAGGTAGGAAGGAGGGCTGCAGGTTCAAGGCTTGCCTGAGCTATATAGTGGCACACACCTTTAATCCTAGCACTTGGGAGGCAGAGGCAGGAGGAGGAGGAGGATCTTTGTGAGTTCAAGGCCCGCCTGGTCTACAAAGCTATACAGAGAAACCCTGTCTCGAAAAACAAAAACAAAACAAAACAAACAAAAAAACAAAGGTAGAAGGATAGCACCTCTGTTTTTGTTGTGGGAATGCCACTGTCAAACTAGGGTGGACACATTATCCCAGCTTGGCCAATTATAATGATTGGGCCAAGCATACTTGGGAGGCAGAGGCAGGTGGATCTCAGTAAGTTCAAAGGCCAGCTGGGTCTACCAAGTGAGTTTCAGGACAGCCATAACTGTTACACAGAGAAACCCTGCCTCAGAAAACAACAACAACAACAACAAAACAAAACAAAAAAAAAAAAACAAAAACAAAAACAAAAAAAGATTGGTTCAAAAAAATGACCATGTGACTCTTAACCTGGGTCATTCAGGCCTTCCTTAAAATTGCTCTATGGGGTCTGGCATTGTCGTATGAGCCCACATTCCCAGCCCTTGGGAAGTAGAGGCAATAAGGTCAGGTCAGGAGTTCAAGGACAGCCTGATTTACTTGAGACCTTGTTATAAAAACAAAACAACTGGAGTTGAGATCGATGGTGCTGGGGGTGGAGGCAGCAAAATCAGGGTCATCCTTGGCTGGGTACCAAATCTGAGGATAGCATCAGCTACATGAGGCCCTGTCTGACACAACAGAAAGGAAAGAAGAAGGAAGAGAGTGTAGAGAAGAAAGGAAAGAAGGGAAGGAGGAAGAGCAACAGAGGGAACAAAGGCAGCCAGTGGCCTGCTTCCCTGCCGTCTGGACCAATCCCCTGAGAATGAGGCCGGCTCAGCAGCAGTGTGGGAGATGGCAAAGCAGACAGTCCCACCTCCAGCCACACCTGGGGCCACATGTCCTCCCCTACAAAGGCTAGAGTTAACAGTCAGCCTATAAAGGCTTCAGTTACCTTAAGCTAGGTTGTTCTGAAGTTCTGTCATTAAAAAAAAAAAAAAAAAAAAGGTCTGTAAGAGTAGTTTTGGACAAATAGAAAGATGGAGGAAGGCCTGAGGGAATGATGTCAGGCTCTCCGCTGCTAGATACAGGGACAAGTAATGACTCATTTTCCCCAGGCTGCTCATATCTTCTCAGAGAGAAAAGCAAACAAACAAACACCCACACATGAAACAAAGACAGTAACTCTAACAATGATAATGACATTAAGCACTTGGTAAATATCAGCCAGGTACCAGCTGCTGTTTTCACCGTTTTTGAGCATACGGTAGGGTATCAACAATATCCCATTCTTCACAGATGAGAAAACTGAGGCGAAGAATGTTACCCAGCTTGCTTGGTCCAAGTGGTTGAGCTAGGACACAAACTTGGCCACATGACTTGGAAGCAATGCTTCTTGGTTACATAATTCAATGGGACACGGGTTTTGCCACCCGCACCCCCATTCCCAGTACAGTCTGTGTGAATAGTGTTTCCTTCCCTTTTGTGCAAACATGGCAGCCTTGCTTACAAACCACTCATTCCATGTTCGTTAGGCCTGTCCATAAGTATGGTGGGAGGCATGGGTAGAGAGTTCCAGGAACAGACAGAGTTCTGTGGAGGAGGTGAGATCCAAGGTCTCCAAAGCATGCGAGGAAAATGGTAGACACTGCATAGAAGGCAGCATGTCTGAAGACTGACAGGACCTGGCTCCTTCACTTTGAAGGAGCAGCTGTGAGAGTTTATTATTCTCTATCGAAGAGGCCAGGTAGGGGGCTGGAGCAGCTACCATAAGACACTGTTCCTTGCATACTGCCTACTCTAAGGTAAGTAGTACTATGTTGGGCTACAGAGGACACTGAGGCTCACAGAGATGTGACAGCATGTAGTGTCTTAGCCCTCAGTACAGGCAGTTAGTTACTGTTTCCAGGAAGTACCACCTGCGTACAGTTCTTTTGTTATGTTTTTAATATTTAATTTTTTTAATTATTTGTCAATATGTGTTTGTGCCCATGAATCTGTGGCCTCAGAGGCTGGAAGAAGGCATCAGATGCTATGGAGCTAAAGTCACCAGTCAAGGGTGGCCTGACATGGATCCTGGGAACTGAACTCATGTTCTCTGGAAGAACAGCAAGTGCTCTTAACTGCTGAGCCATCTCTCCATCCATGTTTGTCTTCTTTTAAGGCAGAGTCTCATGGAGCCCAGTCTGGTCTCAAACTCTGATTCTCCTGCCCCTCCCCCCCCCAAGCTGGAATGATAGGCGTGCACCACCATTACCTCCTTTATGCTGTGCTGGCGATGGGATTCAGGGCTCTGTGCACAATAGGCAAACACTCTACTAACTGAGCTACATCTCCAGCCTCACCTCTAAACAGTTATGACAGCTATGTCTGCTGTCACTGGGCCCAAATCAGGCCTCCTTTGTGGGATCTGAAGGAAACTGGGATCCCTAGGAAGAGGAGGAATGAGTTCCAGCCATTGACCAATTTCTACCTGAAGTCACTGCAACACTTTGTGACTAATTGGGCAAAAGTGTATTGCGTTTTTCTTGGCCCTAGAAGGGGTACATCTGCCACCCAAGAGTATTTTCCAGAGTGAGAGCAGAGGGATGAGCTTGTGTAACAGCAGGTCCCCAGACTGCCAGCTCCTGAAAGAACTCTGGCTGAAAATGCCATGGATGAATGTCAGAGAACTCTGGTCAACAGGCGAGCTTTCCCCCTCCCCCCCCTCCCCCTCACCCCCTAGCCCTCACCCCCCACCCCCAACCCCGGCCTAGGGCTCCAGAATCAACACAGAGAAGCAGGCACAAATGGCCCATGGTATGGTGTACTCGGTCTGGGTACCACTGGCTCCACTTACCTGCTCTGCCTCCTCAGTCACACTTTTGTTCCCTTACTCCACAGCTGTTTCTAGAGGTGCACGCGGCTAAGGCTCCTGTGACAGACAGGGAGATGATGGACAGGCAGTGGAGATGCAGGTGGTGAGAGCAGGCACAGAAGAGTGTACTCAAGCTGCCAGGGACCTGGGACAGAGAGTGACTCAACAATAGCTCACAAGGCCAAGAGGGGCTTCAGGGAGGCTAAGGCAGGAAGTTGTTTGGCAGATGACATTCGGGACTGAGGAACAAGATATAGAGGTGTGAGCAGCTGGCCTGCTTAGAGAGGTGAGAATTGGAACTTCGCTGGAGCCCTGGGTGTGTGCAGGGAAGGGGAAGGGAAGATGAAATTGCAAAGTAGGCTAGTAGCAGGCTGGGAGAAGCCAAAAACCAGTGCAGATTTTTATTCTCCAGGGGAATGGTTTTTGAAGTAGATCCCAGGGACTGCAAAGATGGCTAGTGGCTAAGAGCCCTGGAGGCTCATCTAGAGGACCCAGGTTCAGTTCCTAGTACAACCAGCTATAACTCCAGTTCCAGGGGGACTCGCCCTGTTATGGCCTCTGTGGGCACTCACATGCTTACAGTGTGTAGCCATATACATAAGCCAGACAATCATACATATAAAAAGAAAAATAAACGAAATTAACAAAGTGTGGTCCCTGGATGTGTGTGCCTCAGCATCACCTGGGAACCTGAGGAAAGAGAAAAACTGTCAGGCCCAGACCCACAGACCTACCCAACTGGAAACTCTGAGGCCGAGGCCCAGTTACCTCAGCTTTTATTTTGTTTAGTTTTGAGATAGTGACTCTTTACCTCTGTTTAAAGATGTCCTTTCAGGCATCTGAAGGATGGTGGAAGTCTCTAGTCCCAGCCACTAAGAAGGCTGAGACCTGAGAGTTACTTGAACTCAAGAGTTTGGT